TTTTAGGCTTGTATTTCTTCAAGTCAGTTGTTTCTTCCAATTTCGCGCATGCATACCAAATACCAGAAAGTTTTCTTTGGGTTAGTGCTGATTACCACAAGAGAAAATTCAACATGCAAGCATTGTTTAAGTACATAGCCTATAGATCCTTAAGCATATTTCTGCATCGATATTAAGGCTTTCATAATGGACAGTTACTTTACATAAAACTCAGTCTATATATATATAGTACGGTACGTTCATTTATCTCGATTGAAGCGATTTAATGTGCAATTGTGAAACTTTCGACAAGTCTGTTCGAAACTGATAAGCGAATGTTCATACATGTATTGAAAATTGTATTCACAGAAATACAAATCTCCATGGCCACCCACAGTTTGCATGTAAACAGATGTCAAACAACTAAAAGATGGGATCCGTTCGTTCAGGCTTGTCACCGATATCAAATTAGCTGCTTTGATGGCGTATTATAAAAAGATTAAAAATTTAATTACGAAGGAAGCGCCTGACAAGAGAGAGAATGACCGCGATTTTGTTATTATCGTTATCCGCAGCGCAAGAAGAAAATATAATATCTTCAGTATTCACTACCCGTCATACCGCGACGTGTCATCTATCTCACGTTGATCTCGACATAGTCCAATACTTTGGCTATCTACCTCAGGATATGGTTGGCCGTTCGCTGTTCGACTTCTACCACCCCGAGGATCTGCCCTTCATCAAAGACATCTATGAGACCGTGAGCATGCGCCCCAGAAAATAAGCCAAAAATATTTTAGGTTTCGATCGAACACCTACACGCTTTGAATAATAAAAATTAAAAAAAAAAAAACAGCAGTATACGAAAATGATAGAGCAAAATATGTACAGTCCTCAGAAAAAGTGCAAGCACTAGCGAGTCTCCGAGAATCGAACGTCGAACGAAGCACAAAAATAAAAAACCCATGTCCGTACTTTAATTATACTTATCGTTGAATAGGTGATCAAACTCGAAGGTGCCTCGTTCAGATCGAAACCGTACAGGTTCGGAGTGCAGAACGGTGGCTACGTCGTCCTCGAAACCGAGTGGTCGTCCTTTGTCAATCCGTGGACGAAAAAACTAGAGTTTGTCGTAGGTCAACACAGGGTGCTGAAGGGTCCAGCGAATCCTGATATATTTCGTGTACCACATGCGTCCGAGAGTGGTCACTTGGCCAACATTAGCGAGGAGGTGCTCAAAGAAGCAAAAATCATACAAGAAGAGATACGTACACTTCTCGACGAGGTACGTTTCCCATCGATGCTGAATTAACGGTTTACAATTATCGTGCGTATGTACTTGTTTAGATCGTGGTATCATTCGATAAGGTAAACTGATACAACCAGGGGCATACATACAAATTGTCTTTTTATAGCAGTAAAAGGATATACACAAATTAATATTCGCGATGTCTATCACACTTTTTACGACCGTCCGAATCTACAAATTTCATCAAACATTATTTAATCTTTTTTTTTCTAATCAGCAGTTTAAATATAATGTTTAAATTATTTTTATAATATCAGAGAACGTAGAATAGAAATATATTAATAAACAATATTATAGAATTCATTCTGTCTTCGAAGGGCAATGCAACAACGAACAAACAAACGAATTTAAGAAGAACAACGACACACAAGACAGACAATAACACATTCGTCGTCGCATATATAGCTATTTCCAATGAAATTCTTATCCCAATAAATGATTCCACCCAATCCCTAATTTTTTCTCTTTTGTCCTATCGTACATATGCGCAGAACATCCAAAGAAAGTCAGATATAATCGGGCTCGATGTGTCAAAAAGATGCAAGGATCTAGCGTCCTTCATGGAAAATCTACTCCAGGAGACGAGGACGCCCGATCTTGGAAAAGATGTGTTCGCTACCGACGACAAGAGTTTTTCGGTGACTATTAGCTTCGTTTTAGTATCACCGACACTTATCTATGCTAGTAATACGCTATGGTGGTATGCTAGAGGTACTTATATTTACAAGTAGCTGTAATATCTACCTCCGTTCCGCTTATGGTGGTACAACATCGTAGAAGGTATTTCTCTTTAGATACTTAGACTATGTTTAAAACGCACCGTTCGTGTCGCTCTATGGCTGCACAATTTTTTCCGTAGGGTAGATAGTATTTTGGTACAACATCGTTTTCGTTATTAGACATTCTGTTTATTTCCATACGACCTGGATATTTCTTGGAAAACGTTTTACTTTGCGGGAGCGTATGATTTTTCCTATACAGATTTATCATTCGCTTCATATTACTCTTCAACGTCGTTAAATGTTCGCTTCCTTGTTCTTTTTTTTTTTGCTCAGATTTATAAATGCTGTATACTGTATGTATGCTGCAATATCTTCATTGATGTATATGAAATTTAGAACTTATGCTTTGTACCGAATACTTATCAGCAGAAAGGAGAAAAAAAGAAATTTCTTGCAAGAATTTAAAGAATTCGTTTCGACGTTTTTATAATCAGAGCTTGTCCGATTCTTGCGTTGCAATTTCTTTTTTTCTCTCGCTAATTCGATCAGGAATGCATGACGTAAGTAGAGTACGTAAAAGAATTAGGTGACGGGTTAATATAAAAAGTTCTACGCTGATATATCCTTTCATGAAGCAATCAGAAATTTGTATTTTTTAAATTTATCAACAACAATAAAAAAGATTACATTCCTAAAAGAGATCAATAATAGCTCGGGATAATTTCAGATTATTTCTAAAACTTGGTATGTCTACAAAGTTAATTTTTCTACCAAATACTGGAAATCTCTTTTCTCACTGCTTCTGAACGATATGTCCTAGTTTTTTTTAGATATTTTGGAAAGTAAGGGTTCAAGGTGAGTAAGGAACATGGCAAATGATTAAATACTTTACAGCCTGGTGTAACACCTAACCGGATGCTTAATTTGAAAAGAAATTTAAGTAGCCACCATTCACGAGTTAGAGTATTCGTAGTACGGCTAGTCGTAAGTAAGAACGGAACAAAAATGAAAAAGAAGTGTTTTGTACATAGACACGGACGGAGGGTAGAATGAAAATTGTGTAGGATATCAGACGGACGCGTTAAAGTCTCTTCTCTTGCCTCATGCTAACTCTAAACGTAATTATTATTAATGGCCAGGACTTTGCAGGTTTTAAAATTTCAATCTTCGCATCCTTCAGTCTATAATCCTAAAGGCTATAAAGTGTTTTAATAAATTATTATTGGAATACGGTACTCGTCGACACAGTCCCACTGTGATTCTTCACTTACAAGGTTTTGAAACTAACGAGGCAATACGAGAGTATGAGAATGGGAGTAATTGTATCATAAACGTGTGAAAGAGTAATAACAAACAGCATATTTCTTTTCGAATGCAATTGAAGAATAAGATTATAATTTACAGAGTTTCTCGAGATATATTATCGATAAAGCCGAAAAACATATATTTAGAAAATCAAGACAGAAAGCCTAAACGCGTTTTATGTCTCTCTCGTTTTATTTTCGTACGTACACCTATTTTTATCCGCAATGTAAATAATATTTATTAATCTGTAAATTCTCTTTAACTCTTGACGAGGCAAACTTTGTATACATAACTTGAGAATTTCGATATGACAATTCGGACGAGTGTCTAACGTAGAAGAGCATGCATGAACGAACGTGTAAATGGAAATGGTTCAAAAGAGAGGACATTTAAAACGGAAGTCGGTGTAACTGTCAAAGCAGCTAACAGTATTCGAAAACTGAAGAGATACTAATCGCTCGGATTGACTCAATAATAGTGAGCTGTAAATATTTCACTTTAGCTGTGACAAGATTAGAAAAGGGTTTAGAAAGGGTATAACGCAATGCCAACTATGCAAACACCCATTGACAGTGACGAAATAGAATGTCAACTCTTTTTAAGTCGCTACAATGTACTTGTGAAGGGATCACGCAATCCCTTGTTACAGGAGCACGACAGCGTAATGATCGGTGAGATTTCGCCCCATCACGAGGACTACGACAGTAAATCGTCTACCGAGACTCCGCCGAGTTACAATCAGCTCAACTACAACGAAAATATAGAAAGATTCTTTAAGAGCAAGCCATCGGTTGCCACCATGTACGGCAGCGACGAGGAGAATCTTAATTCCAGCAACGACGAGGGTGGAAAGACGAGCCCCAATTCGGCAGGTGAGTTCTTTTATCCAATCGCAATATGCCTTATTCAACAGGTTCTTAGTTTTGACGATTTTTCTATTGTTACGCTGTTAGTGAGAAAATATATGTCACCTATAAACGGAAGCGGTGCAAGCGGTAGTGGTAGCGGTGAAAATTTCAGCAGCGGCTCGAACAATCAAACGAGTTCAGCGAGTAGAGGCAATACATCGAACACTGCTAGCACGGAAAGCTTCAAACAACCAATGTTGACCGAGTCGCTGCTTATTCGCCATAACGAGGATATGGAAAAATTGATGATGCAAAGGCATCGGGAACTTCGGTCGAGTATTAAGAACAGCGACAAGCTGAAGGACTCCAGAATAAAGACCACCGAAAAAATGTCGACGGTGCCGAACGCTTATTTCACTAATCAAGGACACGGCGTCAAAAGGTGTGGAAGCCACAGTTGGGAAGGAGAAAGTTTCAAAGTTAGTGATCAATCAATTTTCAAATTTCGAGAAATTCATGAGAAATTAAGCTCTAAACGTGTGGTCGTTTACATTTTATCAGGTTTCGAAACACGACGAAGTGTCGAGAACAAGTACCGCAGGTCAGTTACCAACGAAAGTCTCTACGACAGTTACAAACATGAGTGTAGATCAATCAACCGTTATTCAAACAGGTGCTAACATTAACTTGTGGCACCCTTTACCGGTTACTATACCACCACCGGCACACGCTCAATCACAAACTATGCCGCAAGAGTGAGTATTCTTTACCGAACAAGAAGCAATAAGAGAAATAAAAATACGAGAGGTCATTTGCAATTTTCTTTGAATTTTAGCAATTCAGAAGCAATACCCAGGATACCAATACTGCCATCAGTGATACCAGTGTATTACGTTCCCGTTTCAGAAACTATTAATAATATATTTTCATCGCCTCTACAGCAAAAACAAAGCTCACCTGAATCGTTGCAACATTCCCAACCGAGCCCCTGCAGTATGTATAGTATATTTTACACGTGCTACGAAAACTATAAGAAACAAGGAATAGAAGTTCGAAATGTTCAAAATAATTTCCAGTGTTACTCCCAGTTTCATATGTAACAACGACGATGTCTGGTATGCTTTATCCCCCCGTAATAAGTGCTCCGTCGACGGGCGTGATGTACAGACCCTTTTTAATCCCGGAGGAAACACCAGTTACCTGTGAGAGCAGCCAGGCTACAGCAAATAAATTTTCCGATCGGAAACGACCAGCGAGTCAAGCGACGAGCGTAAAAG